TCACACATTTATTTCTTTAAAAATTGTATCTCATGTTGAAATTGAGTTAGTAAATACCTAAAAAATGGCATACATGTAGTTTACCTTTTAAACAAGGAGGCAAAAACATTAATATTTTGAGACTGTACTTTTTTGTCCCACTTTTTAGCCAAAAATATGAGAATTTTCGGCTTATTTTCAACCAAAACAGGAACTAAATGGGATCAAGATAAAAAATTTGTAGGTTTTATCAGTGCAACTTATTGGAGTTTGTTACACATAAGTTTAATACAAATCCTATTTAGTTTTAAAAATTAAACAAAAAAAGCCAATAGGCCCTATTTCCTTTTGGACCATGTGGACCACAACCTGTACTGTACTCATCCAAAAAGCAAAGAAACTGCAGAAAAAGCAAAAAGCCTACTTACATTGTATGTATCATCTACTTTACCAAGGCATGTACTGTACATATACTCTGTATGTAGACATGGTAGAGTGTAGAGTAAACAACAACAGTATGTTGTGCAACTTAACATGACCATGAACCTAATACCGTGTACGCCATATTGTTATCCTACATGTAGCTCTGAATTGCAGAGTCTTTGCGTAGACCTATAGGCCTAAAAACCAAGTGCGTTCATCCGTGACTGCATGATCCAAGAACAGTCGGACAGCGAATTTTGTTCAGGGCAAAAGAAGGGAAAATCCCAAGTCCATTATAGAAAGTTCAGTTTGAAATGAAAAGAACTGGGCGACATCAAGCACCACAAAACGATGAAAATATTTGGTGATAATGATTTCACAATCTTGTTTCAAACACCAACTGTTTAAAGGTCAAAAGTCACTTATATTATGACGACTTGTATCTGGATTGGCTGCTAAATGTATTTACATACTTTGTACATCATGTACATGTGCCGTACATGCACCGGTACAAACTATGTACTTTCAGTTCTAAACAAAAATAATGACCAATTCTTTTTCAACTGAAGTTTTACGATAAGGCCTAAGCCTACAAATTGTAATGCGATCAAGCTACATCAGTCATTTGTCGACCCTGGTCAAAACATCTTTTACTACAGATTTGAAAAGATCTCCATTTCGGCATTACTGCTGTGAAAACAGCATGCTAATACCATGTTCATTTCAAAAATTATGAACGTTGGAACACCAAGAGATGTGATGAAGTGATGTGGTGCAGTGGCCCTATTTTGGCCTGAATCTCTAAATAAAAAATCCCGACGAACGGACTCATTTACATGTAGCTTGATCGCATCACAATTGATTACCATTTTTTAAGTCTTCCTCCAGTGATGAACACAGATCCCAAAAATGTGATAGATGTATTGTACTTATACATACATACATGTACAATAGATTCTCTACCAGCATGACCAGTAGCACTATCCACAGCCAGTGGAATTTTGGACATTGGCCCCGTGTTATTTTATCAAGTATCGGTACATTACATGCAGATTTCCTGTCAATGGGGAAACAAACGGCTGATGTCCGGATATATGGAAATCCCCACACAATCTCTATTCCAAAGGTGACATTTGTTTTACTTTTTTTTGTTAATATATATTATAGAGACCTGGGAATTTAAAGGGGAAAGGATTCTGAAAATCCAGAAATGGGTCTTTGTCAAATTGCTACTTTTCCTAAATTCAATCAGCTCGGTGAGAACGTGTCTCGGACACTGAATTCAGGCCCAATTCAAAACGTGAATCAGCAACTTTTGAATTGAAATCGAGATCCTTGAATATTTTTTTCTCAGAATATACAGCATTCACTGAGCTACCGTTAAACTTTATCAGTTTAGTTGTTAAGCACGCTTCTTTAGTTTTTGAGCACTTCTGTTGCTTCAAACGAACAAAAAGCACATATTACTGATAAATGCTGGACTGTACCTTTAACGAAGTTGCTGGGAAGTCAAGAAGTGGTTGCAGCAAAGCAACTAAGATACTGAGAATACACAGGCTAATGTTGGACCCTAGGCCTATCCGCTCCGTTCACAAGTACCCCCTCACCAGCAAAGAAAGTACACGTGGGGGTGACCGATCAACGCCATCTTGCCTGACTGCAATTCATTTGCCGCGACGCGCGGCCACAACTGACAACTAGCACTGCATGTACATAGTACAACTTAATCCCCTGGTGTACGTGCGTCACACACAAGGAACGAAGGTGCGCATCAACCAGCGAAATGTCCCGCCCATAGGAAGTTGTTGATTGGTGAAAGGGCGCCCTCTTTCATAATTGGCAAACGGAGTGCATATGTAGGCCTACCTTTAAGGTCTAAGTCAAATAATGCATATTTTTTGTTAACTTACAAAAATGTACATGTATTCTATCAGCCAAACTGATTTAAACTTTGAAGTTCAAACTATATCCTTCTCATTCTTCCACAGTAGAAATATTTCATAACTGGAGGAATGATGATGTGAAAAATTCTCCGATCACCTAGTCATTGAATATTGAAAGAAAATCTGTTGCTGGACGTATTTTTATGGAAATGTTGACAGTGCACACATGCATTGGTTGTCAATCGAGTAGTCACTTCCCTTAAAAAAAGTAATCAGCAGCCTGTGTCACAAAACTGTACACAATGGCAGAACTCCACTTGTGCCATGATTTATTGCATAGGTTGCGCAACGTGAAATGTTTCACTTATGAACACTTCATTTCACTTTGACACACTTCAGGAAAGTTTCATAGTGCATATAGGCCTAAGTCCCCGAATTGTGCAAAAAATTATGGGGAACTGGAAATTATGGCGCACTGAGAATGAACTATTTTACTAGCAAATCGTGCTTGTCTCGGACCGTGTCATACAAGGTTGATACAAGGCACTCATTCATCATAGCTGGCGGTAGCTAGCTTTGTGTTTGAGGTAAATTGATCGCTATTTTCCTCATGACAGAATTTTTAGAGTTGCTGCTCAATTCAGAAGAAAGTCTATTTTCAAAATGCTAGGCGAAGGTGATTCAAGGACTGTTTTGTGACTGAGCAACATCATTCTTTCCCGGAAAAAATGCAGGCTACGAACGACCAGTTCACGGTTAAGTTAGCCAGTTTATTTTTTTATTTTTTTTTGACAGCAGTCCTGACAGTGACAGTACACTAGCATGACTAGCAGGAGCATGACTACACCTTTTCATGAAATATTTGAGGCAAATAGTTGAAATACGTTGCAGAGCTCTGTTCAATTGGAACAGGAAACCCACAGGCTGATTATCATATGAGGGAAATGACACCTGAATCAATAGAGGAGGAAAAAGACTTGGGAGTTTACAAATGTACCTAACACCAGACTTCAAACCAAGTACACAATGCAGCAAAGCAGCAGGGAAGGGAATGAATTGTCTCAGGGTGGTAAAGCGATCTTTCAAGTACATCGATATGGACAGCTTCCTGATTCTATACAAAAACATTCATCAGACTGCATCAGGAATACTATGTCCAATCACGGTGACCATGGCTGGAAAAAGATAAACATACATGTATCTTGGAAAAAGTTCAAAGGAGGGCCACCAAGTTGGTCCCAGCTCTAAGGGAGCTTTCATATGAAGAAAGATTGCAAGCTCTAGACCTGTATTCCCTTGAGAAAAGAAGAGAAAGAGGGGACCTTATAGAGACTTTCAAGATATTGAAAGGCCTCGATAAAGTAGAAAGCAGCAGATTCTTCCAAACAGCTGACAGAACCAGGACAAGAGGTCACTCTCTTAAACTCTTCTAATTCTAGCCCCACTAGTGTGGCCGCGGTATGCTGCGCTGAACCTCTGGCCACACACCGTGGTACCGCACACTACTGAGGGCGTTTTCATAAAAATTACGGTCCGTTTCTTACATGTACATATGGTTGTATTCTATGATGTCCCATCTATCACTTCTGGGATGCTTAGGTGTAATGATGTTCAATTTTCTGAGATATTCTTGAATCTTTCTGGAGCCCATATGCACTCGTGAAACGTCTGGTGATGGCAGCCATTTTGAATGTGACAAGAGATGACCTCAAGCTGTGACGTCGCGTTTATGCAAATTGCTTGTCGAGCGAGGGCGCGAGTTGCAAATGCGACGGCTGTTTCCTGTACCATGCATTTATCGTCTGGGGGCCACGTGCACTGATCTCTATTCAGGATCCACGGCACAGGAAACAGCCGTCGCATTTGCAACTCGCGCCCTCGCTCGACAAGCAATTTGCATAAACGCGACGTCACAGCTTGAGGTCATCTCTTGTCACATTCAAAATGGCTGCCATCACCAGACGTTTCACGAGTGCATATGGGCTCCAGAAAGATTCAAGAATATCTCGGAAAATTGAACATCATTACTCCTAAGCATCCCAGAAGTGATAGATGGGACATCATAGAATACAACCATATGTAAGAAACGGACCGTAATTTTTATGAAAAAGCCCTCAGTAGTGTGCGGTACCATGGTGTGTGGCCAGAGGTTCAGCGCAGCATACCGCGGCCACACTAGTGGGTCTAAAACTCTTCAAGCCATCCCTGAAGAAAAACATTGGATGTAGGAAGAATTTCTTCACCTAAAGAGCTCTTATGCTCTTATGCCAGAATTGGTTTCTTGCAACGTACACCTAAAGATACAGATAAAGAGTGATAAGCATCTGGAATTCACTTCCACAAGCAGTAGTGGATGCCAAAACTGTAGCAACATTCAAGAAAAGACTGGATTCTCACTGGAAGGAGGAAAAGATAGGATATGGGGTCACCAAGGCTATGCCCAATTAACTTACCCATTCATGCCATTAAACCGTATTGAATGTACCGGTAAGTGTAATTGTAAATGCTCAAAAAGATCGAGTATCTGCTCTGGACATGCTGCTGGAGGATTTATGGAAAGAATGTAGTAAAATAATCCAGACGCCATCTTCAGCAGTTGCGTACAAAGTCTATGGAGAGTCAAGAATATTTATTAAGTATTTCTTAACAAAATCGGAAATGTTTCTCAGTCCAAGATTCATGTCTTATCATATCAATATTTTTGAAATGACTGACCTTTATTGAGATGATGTATGAAGGAAAATGGGGTGTCAGGTTGAAACATTCTTTCCGGATTTAATCATAGATGTCAACTTCGACTGCTCATTCATTCACACTGGACATGCTGGAGAGATTATTCCATCTGTGCATGTACATACAATTGTTTATGGAAACTAAATATAGGATGTGGAGCCTACAGCTAGCCAGTACAGGATTCCCTGTTCGCTATTTTTAGTGCTAACCATCCCACAATGCAGTGTAGCCCATACGTTCACTACACATTTTCACTTCCATGACTTCCGGGTCTAGTTCCAGTTACACTGTCGACGCGACACACGAGCCGAGAGTTCGAGACGGATGAATACCCAGACGGATTGTCGGCCAAAGTTCTTTTCTTTTTTTTTCAGCAAATTTTTGAAAAGCTGTGATCTTACGTATGTGCAGACACAAACTGTGATATTTCGTGTCTATTATAATCGGATAAAAACAACGATCTAAAATTACTGAAAGAATATTCAAGTTTACCTTTTTTTATACGATCGTTCTCGAATGTTGATTTACTTCCTGTATATATATATCACTGGTAATCGCATTACATAAGACTTAAAATTGCAACTGGCACGCGAACCAGCCATTCACAGGTGGTTTGAATGGCGCCCTCTCTCGACATCTTTAAGGCAACAGTGTTATTTTCGCTCGTGCGTACTATAATTATGCAAACAAAGAGGGGGGTGCGGGGCCGGGTATTTACTAGGGAACATTGTTGTTTTGTCTTTGACCCAGGCTCAAGAATCACTTAGATTTGGAACCAAATAGAATATTAATAAATGTTGATATCTTTGTGAAAGAACTGTATGTTTCTGAGTACACCGTGAACTTATGTCGATTAGCTAGACACGTACGTCAAAGAAACAATGATGAATGATCTAAAAAATGAAAAGAAAGTTTCTGAAGCCGCAACCAAACGCGATGCACTAGTATACATGAATATGCATGTTAATATTCTCAGCCAATGGCTCGTCATGTGTTTTCCCTGTGGGAGGGGCCATCGTTATAACCATGAAATTTGCGTATATGTCAGGAAAAGGCTGCAAAACACTGTCCAATTTTTCCTGCCAAATACTGTTCGACCCCCCTGCCAAATACTGTCCGATTTTCCCTGCTAAATACTATCCGATTCCCCCTGCCAAATAGTGTCCGATTTTCCTGCCCAATACTGTCCTTTTTTTCCTGCTAAATACTGTCCGATTCCCCCTGCCAAATATTGTCCGATTCCCCCTTGCAAAATACTGTCCGATTTTCCCTGCAAAAAAAATTGTCTGATTTTTCCTGCCAAATATAGTCCGATTTTTCCTGCCAACAAATACTGTCTGATTCCCCGCCCTGCCAAATATTGTCCGATTCACCTTTGCAAAATACTGTCCGCCGGCGATTTTCCTGCCAAATAAGTGTCCGGCAGGACGTACGTGCGCCCTTGTGTTGGAACGACGGCGCCCGGACACTATTTGGCATCGGACACTATTTGGCATGTATTACATGCCAAATAGTGTCTGGCGCCCACTGCGCATGCTCAGCGGACACTATTTGGCACCGGACGGTTTTTGGCACGACACCTGACATAAATGCCCGTCTGATGGGCCATATTGGCTTGGCTCAACACAAAACCATGGCCCTCTAGCTCCGCCTTAACTCCGCCTTTACTCCGCCTTAACTATAAGGTCTACTGATCGATGACAAGCATGTACAAGTATTTGCTAAACAAGTTTAATGGTGACAATAAGGCATTAATGCTGGATTTTGGCAAAAAGGGATACAACATTTCAAATGTTAAAAAAGCACACGTCTTTCCAACTGATCACATTAAATGTGTTATACGCATTGATCTGAATAAAGTACGGAATATATTCATTAGCTGTATTTTCTTTGATTATCACTAAGAGAGTATGTCGATACTGATTACATAATATGTTATAATACTTTAAACAATAACTTGAAAAACACTGGTTATAGTTATTTACGATATAATATACACAAAATGTTAAGGTGTGAGCATAATGGAATACGCACGGCCAGTTTACCAGTATACAGTCAAGAATTCCCAATTTATGAAATTTAAATGAAAGATTTACACCATGCTCGCAATGTAAATCAATGGCTTGTAAAATTGTGGCCTTAAAAGGGCACTTGCTTGACCTGGCTTGGCTCCAAGTGACCTTGTGCCCATTTCATGAGCGGTTGATCATAAAAATCTGTTAAGCACAAAAAGGTGGCTTAGTACAATGGGGTTACCAGCCAAAACGCAGTATGATTAATATAGCTTGTAGCTGGTTCTCAGCTTTTTTTTCTTTCTTTTTTGCTTAGCATTTCCTATTTCCTGCTTCAGGTGTGAGATTGGAGGAAAATTAAAAGTCCACAAAATAATTTGCACAGGATTTTTTTTGGGGGGGGGGGGGGGGGGGAAGGGGGGGGGGGTTTCGCTAGGGCCCCTGATGAACAACATATAGAGGGTCTATGGTATTATGTATATGTTTGCATTTGCCTACACGCACCCTTAAAATACCCCTTTCTTTTGTTCTATAGATATAAACTTTTATATGTAAAGCCCCTGGAATTTGATTTCAATAAGGATTTTCTGTGACTGATATATTAGGAAAAATTCCAATATATCTCACCCCTGCTGCTTGGTCCATGAAATTGGGCCCTGGTAAAAACAAGCCACAAAGCTGGCCATAAAATGGCCACTGCTTTGTTGCTACAACATTGTACAACTGCTTCATCTTGGCCTGTGAATAAATGTGGTTCTGGCCGGCCACTGGCCAAATCTAAAGTCAGGCTGGCCTTTTAACTGACCAATCACATCACTCTAAAGATCCTTATCAGCAGCCACTTTTTGTTTTTGTTTGGTCATTTTAGTTCAGTAGCAATGAATGCTCATCGATCAAGAGATCCACTCATGCGTATCCCTGTGAAACAAAAGCACAGCACCTCAGCGATGGCGGCAATGCAAAGAGTCTATTGGAATGTACATGTATTCATTGGCAAGTTTAAGTAGCCAACGGGGATGTAGTCGAGTCCATCACAAGTCCCTGCAAGTCCAAATTCAAATCACTTCTTTGTATTTCTTCATCCACTGTTTTTTGTAACTGGACTTGGGTCTGGACTTGTGATGGGCTTGGCTTAATCCCTTGTAGCAAACTGAGCTACAAACCTCACAACATCAGCTGCATACATTTGATCACAATTAATATCCACAACAAAAAGTATTTTGAAGCACCTTAAGATAAGTAACAGTTAACTAAGCACATGGATGGAGGAAGGTCCATGATTAATGCAGAAAGACGGACTTAATAGCGAAGATCTTGTGTTTATGCTTTATGGACATCCTGCACAAGAACCTCTCAGATCAACGGTGAAATTGACAAAAGCGCGATAGGAAAGAATGCTGTCAAGCTACAAAATCTACAGAATCATAAGGTCTAAAGCTAAATTAAAACAAAAATTTACTTTTTCTTATTTTATAAACACCAACAGTTAGCAAATGATTCAAATAAAAATCTTCATAAAAGTCAGTCTGAAGGCACGTAAATATTTTACGACATGCATCATAGTTGAAGTCTACCCTCTCTGGATCCCTTGCCAGAGAGGGCGATATACATTTACTGAGCTGCATTGTAGGGTAAGTTCGCACAAGAACCATAGTTCAACTAAGTTAGCCTGAACTCTGTCTAGTCGACGATGGTTGGACTACGCTAGTGGACTATTTGGAACCAGCCTACTGGGCCTGGTCGCATCGCTGGTTATCAATAGCCTCGTTTCATTACTGAAGTGCAGAGGGAACCATTGACAAGAGATTAACCCGCTGGTGGGCCTGAGAGATGTCTTCCGGTTCATTCAACAGGACAAAGAACGTAAACATCCAAACATACTCGTGACCACCATATGTTGACAATGGTTCGACTAGAGTCTTTCGCACTTTGATGTTATAGCGCATGCACACTGTTTGACACCAACCAACCATTGGTTGACTAATGGCTGTTGTGCGAACTTGCCCCAAGTCTGGTTCCCAAACCACAAGATTCTGACTAATATTCTAAACAATTGTCAAATCAGAAAGGCGCCACTGCAATGTGACCCAATGGCTTAAGTTTTCTGAATATGCTTTCGCTGACAATCGGATATATTTGTGACAGCTCCAATATTTCCAGGTATAAAAATAGTTTTACTTACCTACAGAATACCACTTAAGATTATCAATGCTGACAGTTTTGAGTTCATCAAATCAAGGCTTGCATTTACAAAATTCAATGTTTGGGGAAATACCCAGTATTCTCGGATCCGGCTTGACGTCACTTCCGGTCATCGACCTTAAGGACAACCTATTCAGCAGGTGAAAACAAACCGCGCCGCCATTGTGACTCCTTGTGTGTGTGGGTGTAGAATTTCTATCAGTATGCCACTTCCGTCGAAGTACTCATATGCAAGAATCTGTACTGAATGTCCAATTAGGCCTTGTACCATGAGTAGGTACTCGGCAAGGCTTAGTTGCATCATGTTCTATTTTTGAATGCGACGGTAACCTGACCTATAATCTATAAAGAGATGTCAGGTGATCCTCAAGTCACGGAACCAGACTAATACAAAGCGGCCAGAACCTTGCGGTGTCCATAAAGAATCAGGAACCAAACAAAAACTGTTCTCGACATCTAACAAAAGCGCCTCAGCTAAAAGTTTACCTAATCTCAGTGAAAACAGCTTTGCTAAATATCCAAATAAGGCAAACAAATTCTGAAATAAAATCGGTTGTCTTTTTTTAAAACTTGTTTTAAAATAATTACCAACATAAAATCTTCATATAAATTTAGCAATAATTTGTTACCTTTTTCTTAAATTTTAATTGTGCGGCTTCTGAAAAATTTAATACTTGGCACATCGATGGTTGGTCCAATGCCATGGCAAGAATAGACCCATCCATTACGCCCCCGCCCAATGACGTTTAACCAATCACAGTCTTGACTAACCCTAAACTTCCCAAATCCTCCAAAATGCTCTTTGCAAAATGAAGGATTTTGCAGGATTGAGGTTACATGGCAAAAGTGTGTTGCTGATTTCGGAGGATGCACTGTGTCAAGGTCTTGGGCCGGACCTTGTGTTCTTAATGCTCAGCCGTGCAATTTAAGCCTATATTATACTTGAAATCCTCCGCACTGCTCCAGGATGTCACTGGCTCTGCCTCAACATACTGACAGTGATTGCCCGAGGATTTTGTAGGATTGAGGCAGTGGTCACACCTCCAAGGACCACATTCAAGAAAAAAACAGAGGATTTTGGAGGATTGAGATTGTTACATCCTGGCAAAAATGCCTAGGGAGTTGGTTATGTCCAACACGCGTGCACTTTAGTCAGATATGCTTGTAACATGCGGTGGGTAATTGACGAGGTGCACGTATTGTTTCCCTAAGTGTGCAGTGGGCGGGGTTTAAGGGATCAGTCTATTGACAGAATGATTGAAATACAGTTTGAAAGCACAAGGTCGGAGTGCAACGGTCACAGGTCATCGGGTAAGGCCGCCTTGGTTCGGAAGTACTCCTTGAGTCTGGCCAGTCCGTATTCCTGTTAAAAGAGAATGAAATAAACAGGCTCACGGAATCTAAGCACAAGTACCCCCTCAACGGTGGAACCTGAAAGCGCACCGGCACTGAAGGACCATTGGACGCCATCTTGCCTGGTGCATGCTGGGATAGAATAACCCAGTGTTACCATTCAAAAATATTTCCCCAAACCCAACAGTGACGTACTGGGGATCAATTTGATTTAATTTATGAGGTATTAAAGTAAATATAACTCCTGGGTTTTTGGGTTTTTTTTTTTTTTGCAGGGAGAGCTACATGTAACTTGAACAGTTACTTAAAGGGAATATACATCATTTGCTTTTGCTGTAATTTTCAGAAATGGATGGAATTGGGGGGTTGGAAATATATAGCAAATATAGTTACACTGACTTTTTGAGGTTTTGGGTTAAAAAATGCTATATAAACCTAGAAAAACAATCATTTTCCTGTAGTCTGGTTCCCTGACTCCATATAAGAAGAAACAGAGCAGTTTACATACATTGGGGAATTGTAAGGTCAGGGAACCAGTCTAGCTGGCTCTTACCCGTTCATAGGTTTGTAATCGATTGCAAACAAGTGCAATTGTCAATTGGGGCCAGTATTTGAAAAAAAAGCCAGTTGTTTCCAACGCTGATCGGCCGATCAGTGTTGGAAATTGATACAAAAATACCACTCTTCTTGAAAATGACAGTATACCAGGTGCCATGATTTTACAGGATGCTTTACACTGTCATTCACTAACAGTCCAGCAAGGTATTTCAGGATGATTTGGTAGTTTTATTTTTTGATGTTTGCAAATGTTGTATTTTCCCTTTAATCTAAATGTACTTACCATGTAACCAAAGGCTGTGTGGGAGATTTTAGCCTGTACACAGGACCACATTACCCAGATAAGATGGATGACTGGTGTAAACCTATAAATCACAGAAAACCAAAAGTGAATCAGATTTAGAAAAATAAAGTATTGACATTCAATACAGTGGAACACCGCTATGTTTGGGCCACTTTTAATTCCCGAACATCAAACCACCAATGGTTACTTCGTGTGTGAATGTTGATGAGCGATAGATGGCTATTATTTCCCCAAGGGATAAAAGGGAAAAACCACCCGTTGCTTAAGTTTTGTGACAACTCCTTGTTCGGCCGCGGGATCTGAGAAATGCCAGTTCAGTGACTTCACTATTGGTCAAAAGAGGGTACCGACGATTCAAAATCGCTATACCAAATGATCGTTATTACTAACACTTTCTGTGGATCCCACAATGTTTGTTATAGCAGCGTTCCACTATATAAGAAAGCAGGGGTGAAATTGAGGGAAAATGAAAAACCAAGAAATAATCAGCAGAGGGGCAATTCCACGGTTACTCACATTACATTTTTGATGTCCTTTTGCGTTTCCTTGGGCTGTAATTATTTTACTGAAAAGGTTTAATAACTGTTATCCCTATGGTAGATGGAGTAGACCTAGACCTACCTAAGCACCAAAGATGACATCCAGAAAAATGTGTTATGTATGATGAACAAGATGCACAAAATCGGTTACTCCTGTTACAGTTTCGTAACGTGAGTAACCGATGTTGTGCGTATTGTTTATCATACATACATGTAACACATTTTTCTGGATGTCATCTTTGGTGCTTAGGTAGGTCTAGGTCTACTCTATCTACCATGGGGATAACAGTTATTAAACCTTTTCAGTAAAATAATTACAGCCCAAGGAAACTCAAATGTACATCAAAAATGTAACATGAGTAACCGTGGAATTGCCCAGAGGGTTTTGATGGTCGTCGCAGACCCCAGAGCAACGTAGGGTCTACGATGCATTTGCCTAAAGGCAGCCCTTAACCAGATAATGCCGAAAACACGACCTGGCAATGTATATATGCAGGGCTAGGTTAAATCGTCACACTTTCCCCGAGTGTCCAGCGATGGACCTGTATACACGTCAGTGGTTCCCATTGGTTTTGTACAGACTGTGTTTTGAACTTGAGCTTGGCTGTACATGGCCTGTCCTCGTAGCAAATATCCCTCCTTGGCAGGGCATCAGAGTGTTGCAAAATATGAAATTATGGTGAGAAGTATTGTACACATATTGTACAAATGACTCTCAAGAGTCAGTATTTGTGGTGTTTGAGTTTGTTTTAATATTTGGCCCATAAATATCGACTTTTTTCAAAAATGGCATTTTGGGGCGAAAAATTATCCCAGCGGCAGGTGTTTAAAACACCCATTTCTTTTGTTCTATATATAATTTTATAGGTAAATTTATCCACGTTTACGGCAAAACCTCAGGAATTCCAGATTTCAAAAGGAAAACCAGGAAAAAATCCTGACAAAAAATCTTGAAATCAGGAAAAATCCTGAAACATCTCACCTAGAGAAAGGTGAACTAAACGAAACAACGGGATGTTATAAAGTTGAAAGAGTGAATAAAAGGGTGATATTTTTCTTTTTTTTCAACAAGACAACTAAGAAAATACCTTGCGATTTCTCGGAGAATGAGTTTTTCCTCGGCCTCGGTGCTCATGCGGTTGCACACCCCCTCCCCTCCTGCTCCAGGCCCCTCCCCCTCCCTCTGCTCCTTGGTGGAGTTGTATTCCTCCAGGTAGGCCCGGATGAATCTCAGCTGCTGCGCCTCGGTCGGGTGATCCTCTGGAACCAGATTGAAGTAGGGGGCGCTCTCTTTGGTGTAGTCGATGGTCCACTCGCAGAAGTGGTTGGCAAAGTCTGACGCCCTGGGAATTGGGACAAAAAGAAGGAAAGTCCATGAAAGAGCTGTCGATGCTGTCGTTTTAAAACTGGATTTTACCTTAAACTGGTGTAATTTTGTAAAGCAATGTATATTTGGTAAAGTTGTATTCGAGTTAGTCATCCTGTCTCAAGTCAAGTCATAAGCTACTGGCTGTTTCATCCTCTGTTTAAAATACTTGTGATTTGCCTTTGGACATGACTTTTGACATGACTTCTGATGTGACTTTTGACATGACTTTTGACATGAGTTTTGACGTGACTTTTGAAGCGACTTTGACATGACTTTAGATTTGACTAAAATGACATGGCTTTTGAGGTTACCTTTGACACGACTTTGTCATGACTTTTGACATGATTTTTTACACGACTTTGGACGTGACTTTTGACGCACTTTTGACATGACTTTTGATGTCGTGAATGTTGACTTGATGAGTTGTGATTGATTCGATTACAACTCTGATATCAGTGCTGTCAACAAGCTTGTGAGAAAAACAAGTTTAATGTACTTCGGTTGGAATCGAACCTATTACCTCCCGCTTACTAGTCAAGACTTGTGTAACCACTCCCCCGTCAAGCTTGCCCGAGTTGGCCGGCTTATTTTTTTTCAGATGGTATGTAGTGCATGGCGGTGTATTGTATTCTCACCTATAGTTGTAGCTTGCATATTCATAGTCGATCAAAACAAGGCTGTTGTCCTTAATCTCTGGGCTTCCTTTAGCAAGCAGGATGTTACCTAAGCAACGGGATTCAAAAACCAAAAGAAAAAGAGGATTGTGCTGAACGGGTTGGAAAATATTAAACACAGGTCGTAATACACTGGGCACCACTATAAAACTACTGAAGATATATGTGTGCAAATGCTGTTGGTTGAGTGAGCTCCGAGAAAATCCCATGATGCACCAGGAAGGGGTGATGATGGAGCAATGATGGCGATGGTGACTGTCCTCCATGATGGCCGCCGCTGTTAGTTTCCGCTGCGTCAGACCTCTGAGCTGCTGGTGGAGTGTTTGAGAACTATCTACTACGGCACAAACAGTATCTGCTGTTTCCAAACCAATCAGTCAATAATTAATTAGTAACAGCTTCATGTACATGTAGGGTTCAAAATTAGCGGTAGCCCGCTAGCCAAATGCAAGTCAAAACAGCGGCAGGCTAGTCAAACTATTCCTTAAGTAGCCCGGCTGGAGATTCAAAATAGTATGGGGATACAGCAAAGATGAACGTACAGGAAGAAATAAATCATTAAATTCAGAAAGAAAACCCCATCAATTTGTGTCTGATCTTATCAACTGTTTTAAAGGGTTAAATTATTAGATCTGTTTGTTAAAAACACTGACAAAATTGCCTCGGAATTGAGCCTGAAAATACGACATTTTGTATTTGAGATAAGAAAAAAATGCGGGCTAGTGAAAATGCCCGCAGGCTAGTTAAGAGTCCATTTCAGTTGCCCGGCTGGCTAGTGAAAAAAAAAAGTTAAGGTCGAACCCTGACATGTAAACCACAAATACTTAATTTACAAAATCACTAGTTCTGACTTTTTAACAAATAATCCCCAGTTTTCAACAGGAAGGTTCTTGCCACCAGAGCAAGTTCAGGGGAGGGCCATGGTTAACCGGAGTGCGACTAACTTGACTGTTTGGAACCAGACCACAGGACACAGTTGCATCGCTGGTTACCAATCGCCGCACATCATAAAGCGCAACAAGAGCCAGGATCAAGGATTTTTGTGATGCCGCTTTGATCATCGTTTCACTAGAAGCGTTTGAATGTTGCTACTGGTGCACAGGCGTAAGTTACATAATGAATCAACAAGTATAACATTTTAGGTTTTGCTTGGTGGAGTATCGGTTTCACTTCGGTTTGCTGCAACACCATGTGGTAATAACTACTGCTTAGAAGATATTTAGTTCTGAAAGAACTTGTCCTGCTTGTTATAAACTTTTGCTAAGTAGTTTTTGTTCTGATAAGAACAGTCCTGCTTTAAATTCTAAAAGAACTTGTCTTTGGTCTCAGTTCAGTTCAGACAAGTTCTTTCAGATCTTAAAGCAGGACTGTTCTTATCAGAAACAAAACTACTTAGCGAAAGTTGATAATAAGCAGGACAAGTTCTTTTCAGAGCTACTTATCTTCTAAGCAGTAGTTATTACCACATGGTGTTACCGCAAGCCAAAACAAAATCAACAAGAAGTCAACCAATGGTCAAACGCCGAACTTGCTCTACAATGTGCATGTACCAAGATCTCGCTTTTGGACTCTGTTGAAGAATGAACGGGAAGGTGTGCTGGAAACTGATGGGCATGAATTATTGAAGCGACTTCTAAAGTGGCTTTTAGGAGACGGACACTAAAATGTAAACAAGGTGAAAATTGTGTACCAGTAATTTTTGTACTGATTTGATATTTCATATGAAATTTGAATATTATTTTCAAAATATATTTTCAAAAGTGTCCAAATCATGTAAGGCATTGCAGCCATAAAAACTGTAAAACTACAAGCTGAAAAGCATCTAGCCATAAGACTTAATCAAGTACATCAAATGACGTGTAATATTTGCAAGTGACTGAGCAAAAGATGGGTCAATAATGAAGGCTTGATGAACTGGAATGTTCTTGATTTCACGCATATGATCATCCCACTGTTTCCAAGGCCCCATGCATAAGAAGGTTCTCAATACTCCAATCCCCACTTCTGTTCAAACTTGTCCATAGCCTCAATACTTTCATGTGTGCTACAGGGGATTTCGTTTTTAAAATGATTTCGTGCACAAAACTACAACAATGTAGTACATGTATGACGCTGAATCAACAAGAATGATTATTTATGTTATAAAATTAACTTTTTTTTTACCTTTGACCAATTTGTAATTTTGTATCTGGGATTCGCCCAAATGCCCCCATTTTTTTTTCCAAAAAAAAAAAATTCAAAAGAGGCAAAGTAACATGAGAGAAGTGCACTTCTAAAAAAAAAAAAAATCATTGCAGACATGCCACATCATTTTGAATAATCGTTCATGTTTTTCCTGCCCTGTTCAGCTTATTGAACCTTCAGATCACAAAAATGATCCGTCTAACCAAGCAAAGTGAATCTCTAATGTTTTAAATTCTGCCTTCACTATAAAGTAAATGTTCTGTGCAGTAAAATGACACTTGATGGCGTGTACAACTTTGGGGGGAGGGGCTTGTAAAACTTTGGGGGAGGGGGTTGGTGGTAATGACAATTCAAGTGCTTTTTGTAGCCAGTGAGTGAAAAAAAAATGACAAAAGAATTCGGAAAAATTGAACGGTCATCAATTGCTATTTGGTGTGCATCCATGAATCTGCTGATAACACAAACGCAGCTACATGTACACGTCGATCCCTCTTCCACATCACAGTTTCAAGGTAGATTCATCCACCAGAGAGGGAAAAAAAACATCGCCACGGACACCTGTGACCAGGCTACAAATTCTGTTAAACTGTAAAACAAAACAAAACAACAAAAGAAAGAGAAACTAGTGTACGTCAACGGGGGCTGTGGACAACCCCCAACACACAATCATGACTCCGCCCATAGAATGACACCCCTCGGCAAGGACGTTGGATCACGTTCGTAATCGAAGTCCGCTATCATGGAATGTGATTGGTCCGTTTCTCCCCCTAAGATGTGATGATGGTTGTTCACAAAGTTTTTTTTTCTGGTCTCGTACCTTCCTGGCAATCGTTATGACTGAAAACAACGGGGCTCTTGGAGTTGGCGATCAGTTCCCTGCGAAGCACGAACAGAGGACGACAAACACAGAGAAGGGGGAAAACAAAAAAAAGAGATTATTCAGATTAGTCTTGATTGGAATAAAAAGGGAAAAGAAAGGAAACAAGATTGTACCTGTCCAGTCTTGGGAGATCTGAATGTTGGGAACCAGTGTCATTGCGTTGCTTAACCATAACAACCCTTGGTAATATTTTGCTACAACTACATGTACATGTACCATTATACCTGAATCCTGCCAAATTCACCAACTTCAAAATCCACAATAGCTAGCACAATGCTCTGGCCATTGATGGAGGCCTCCTTTATACACTCAACCAAAAAAGAAAGTCACCTCCGTCCAATAATTGTTTGTCTAACTCAAAAACTACTGAGCACCTCTCGCTCAAATAATGACTAATCAGTACAGAAATTCCTTAGCAATCTGACCATTTGCCATTGGCCCAAACAGTGATAATGTGTATGAATTTACGCAATTTATGATGCACTTTTGTACACAAAATGAACGTGCAAGTTGTGGTTCACACTCACCTTGCACCTATACAAAAGTTCAACTTTTTTTGGTACCATTTGTCATAAATTGCATAATTTTTTACACATTATCACTCTTTTGGGCCAAACACAGAGTATGGCTGGATTGCTAAGGAATTTCTGTACTGCTCAGTCGTAATTTGAGCAAGATGTGCCCAGTAGTTTTTAAGTTAGACAAAAAAGTATTAAAGGGGACTTTCTTTTTTGGTTGAACGTAGAAGCGACAACGAAAAAAAAAATTCTCCAATATGGATAGTGTCCAGTTCCGTCTCATTTTGCCAGAACGCCTCACGCATGACAAATGTTTTTTAATTGTGTATTTTAGGCAATTTGTTCTGTAGATTGTGGAGTTAGGTAATGGGTGGAGCCTGAAACAATAGAATTTGTTTTACACGCTGCAAGCATTATGAGCACAAATGAGCAAAATCTTGCACGCGTTTCCTGTTAAACCTTAACCCTAACCCTGCCAGACGCAGCACAGTGCATCAGGTGGAAAAGTCTGGTGCACTTTGATGGAAAATGCTACCAACACCAGTGCAGAAACCGGCCACTTCTGAGACACTGAGAGCTAGTCCCATGGAACAATGCCCGAGTTGTATCCTGCTGCAGTGGGTGACCACAGACTCTGAGGCAGTTTGGCCTCGAGACTTTTGACCTGATGGATCTTGCTACACTGGGCAGGCTTGTCACTTAGACAAGTGTTGCATGTTGCTGCGTTTGGCAGGGTTTCTAGCCAAAATACACTGGAGGGTTAGGGTTAAGCAACACCATGAAACTGATCCCACATTTAAACCAAAATAAGGCAGGAAACTTAACGTATAAAAGTGTAATCTGCAACAAGTGACAGTCATACCGAAAAAAAACCCCAAAGTATCTACACTCTAAACGTAGCACCATGTCCCGCAAAAATAACACCTTCGTTGTTGGTCCAACGCTTGCAAGTCCACAGCAGAGTGTCTTCAAAGGAACATCTTTCTAAATTAAAACTGCAAAATATAATACCTGGCACCTGTAGTTTGATAAAGTCCAAGACAAAGTCTGATGCACTTAAGAAATGTGTCCTAAACAGACTAGCCTCGGCTATTCACAGGCAGATGACATATCCGGGTTTTTGGAAGGAGGGGATAAAAAAGATCGATCCACTGAGCTCCACCCCACGATGCTTTGGCCAATCACAACCTTGATTAAACAATGAGTGAGATCTACCTTCCTCAATCCTCCAAAAAACCTTCGAAAAAGATGGCTGGTGTTCTATAAAGGACAAGTTGCCGTCTTAGGCAGTTGTGATTTACTTTAATAACAGTGTGGTTCACCAGGTTTACCTTTTGTCCACTTTTTGCGACGTTTTGAAAAATAATCACGGCGGAAACTTGTCCTTTTCAGAACATCATAATACGTGTACATGTACATGAACAAAATGCGTGTCACCTCTTGATACAGCGCGCGCTGTAAAATACATGTATGTATAGAACGTTCGTTTATCGGTGGCCAGACCAGAACGACATGGTCAAAAAGTGAAATAAATAAATAAACATATTGGCATACGTCATTCAGTCTTTATGTAGAAATCAGTGGACAGCACTTTGCATTTACGATTTACTGAAGGACATTTCTAGGGACAACACACACACCACTAGCAGTGGGGTAAGAAGCACATCGCCCCCCTCCTTGTCCCTCCTCCCTACCCCTTCCAAAGGATATGTCTCCTGCCATCAAAATCTTAAGAAACAAAAATATGAGAGCAAGGAAAGCAACCTACTTGATGAAGGTGACTTCTTTTCCGAGGTCATGTGACCTGATCTCCTCCAGGACCCGCTGGTCGCTGGGTGTGTCCAGCTCCATTCTGAGGGTCAGGTTGGTCCACCTGAGGTCAGAAGTCAAAGATTAAAAGGTCACACTATATCGCCAAAATATTTTGAATTAATTTGGCCAACATTTTGCACTAAACAATTTAATGAAATCTGTTAAATTTGGGAATTTCTAGTGATAGTTGAACCTACTTCTGGAGTTCGATCCATACATACTGAAATTTGTATCCATGTGGAGTCATTTCTTTGTTCTTCTGTACTTAAGTTTGGAGTTTGAAAATGTACTTTCAAAATGCTCCTATTTTAACCAGAATTAATTTCCTGGGCTGAAATTCGGATTAATATCCCTTACATAAAATTCTTCAGCTTGCGACGGATCAACACACCTTGGAAATTCCTAGTTTTTTTAAGTAAAATCCATATATCTATTTCGTGATAACCTTGTGGAGACGTATTCACCCATAGAAATTGCTCTGTGGAGACGCATACAATCTTTTGTTCCCTATTGTGCACATGTCTCCAGAGGGTACCATGACCAGATCACTGGGTCTCAGGGCCCTGTGCAATCAATACTCTTTTGTCATCCTTGCACTTGTGGAGGACATTTGTCATTGATTTAAGGATTGTTTGCAGACAGATACACAGACTAAAGGCCATGCATGCATTTTGTATGATGTCCCACCGAGGTACAGACAAGGCCAAATCTAAGGCCATGTACAACCAGTTTAATACTTGTAAGACTAGTTAGGTTTACATATAGTTCTTGGTTGGTTCTTGGTTGGTTCTTCTCCTAAATACTCCACGTGGGAGTTTTATACAGGAGGCCAGAAACACCGGGCAAACCCCTTCTCTTAGCGATAAGTGTTTACTGGGTTCTTTTACGTGCATTTATACAACACACGGGACCTACGGCTTAACGTCCCATCCGAAGGACGAAGCAATAATGGTTAAGTGCCTTGCTTAAGAGCACAAGTGTCCGCCGGCGGGCTCGAACCCACGTCACTGTTGCCTCTGAAACACCAGAACGTGAGTCCGGTGTTCTTAACCGCTAGGCCATCACACTCCACTACAGTACAGTACAAATTAGTGAAAACACTAGAACTTGTAGTCATAAACAAAGTAAGTTATAACACAAATTATCGATGACAGACTAGGCTAAGACCAAGTTTGTCAAAAACACTAGTTACTCATCAACACAGAGTTAGTTATAACACAAGGTATCAAGGACATACTTGTCTAAGACCTGGTTCAGCCATCGCGGCACTTTGCACAGAGGTAATTCCAGCTGATGAAACTTGGCCAGCTTCTCCGCAATCTCCACCGTGAATTTAGGGTCTGCCAGCTCCGCAGTGGTCAGGCATCTCGACTGGCATTTAGGAAGAAACAAGGACACATGAATTCATATATTTTTTATTGATTTAATCATTCTTTCGATGTATGTAACACCCAACAACGGTTATTTTACCAGTTTGGACTAAGGAGAAGTATTCGATATTACTACACCTCATAATTATTCATGATCAAATTGGAGCGCGTCATTGGCCAATTCCGCAGCATGTCCGGGAAGTAAAAATGACACGCACCCAGGTGACGTCATCCCGGTGAGTATCCAGCTCGCTGCCGTGCGGTAGTTTTTTTCTGGTAGCACCAAAAATTCCCTCTGGAACCCGCCTCGTAGACATGTACATAAGTATGTACAAATGTAGTCTATGCAGGCATGCAACTGGGAATTTAGACGAAAACGAGGAAATCCCAAACCACACAAGACTTGTACAGTGTTTTTCAATTTGTAATGGCATTCATGAGAAGTAAAAAACGAGGAAATCAGCGGATTTGAGGAAAAGTTGCATGCCTGTCTATGGCATGTAATCTTTACGGAACCAGTCTGTTGTTGTAATCCTCGTTACAACTGCAGTAAAAATATTTTGTGTTGGCACCAGACTACTGTGACAAAGGACTTGAATTGTGCTGAAAAAATATGCAAAAATTAGGAACGCCGTTATCGACAAGGCATGCAGTGAGGCTACTTAAAAGACAGTGAGGCAACTAAATATTTATGACGTGTAGTAAATCAAGTACGGCATGGATTATTTCTGGAAAAAAGTTGGAATTACTGGTCCCTCGGTGTAGGTCAGCTTGACTACCTCCCTCTGCTTCGCGTCGGGAGGCAGTCAAGCTGACCTACACCTCGGGACCAGTAATTCCCACTACTTCCCCTCAAACCATGCTGTATTTGTATATTACTGTTCATACACAGAGTCTATATCATGGGGCAAAGGAAGAGTTGCCCATACACTCACCGGAATGTACTGTTCCAAACGCCCCTCCTGAAACACGCCGTACAGCTTGGGGCCTTGCTGCCGCTCCGACAGCAAGGAGAAGATGATGGTGTCTAGCAGAGGCGCGTCGCTCTCGTAAAAGATCTCCCCGAAGACGCGTAGCAGCACCTCCGTCGGCTCGTTCTTACGGCCCTTTTCATTGGACGGAAGAGAGCAGAGATAGAGGTAGTTACTCAGGCCGGCTCTGCAGAGTGTTAAGGACAGAATGGCAGACACCCACACCAACAAACACACCCATGCACGCACAATGAGAGGAGAGGAACAAAACAAAAACAACAAGTTAGTTAATCTTGATTAGTCAGAAAATGCAACTTGCTCCGTGGAAATGAGTCAGACATCTTCAAACACCTAAAAATAAAACTAATTTTTTTTTTGTGATCATTTAAGATACAGCTATGTTTTAATTTCCAAGTTGAAATAAATTGAATCCGAAGGTCTGAATACCCCATTGTAGGCTTTGCAGAGAAAACCAGAAATGCAACTTCAGTTTCTCAGTTATTTTTCCGAAGGAGAAGGAACAATCAGAAAATGTACATCTTGCACAAACATATTTTGGAATTTTTTTTTTTAAGAAAGTATTTTGGCAAAAGATCATTTCTTAAATTCTGATGGCCAACTTGTTACATGCATGAGGACAGACATACATGTATGACTCATTTTAATAGAGCAAGTCACATATGTAAGTGGAAGTGGCTACGAGGAACAAAAGGTAGTTACAGTTTTTGACTCTCAAGAACGATTGGCATACAAACATTCATTTCTTCTTGAATGAGCAAGAAATACTAACACATTTCAGAAATGTGATGTGATCAAGCTACATGAGTTGTTTGTTGACCCTGGTATTTTTTTTTTACAGTTTTGAAAAGAGCACAATCTCAGCATTACTGCTGTGAAAATCGCTTGCGGATACCATCTTTAGTTCAAAAATTAGGGAAGTCGGAACACCAAGAGGTGTGATGAAGTGATGTGGCCCTATTTTGGCCTGAATCTCCAAATGCAAGGTCCCGACAAACAACTCACTTAGCTTGATCGCATCACAAATTTGCTGTCTTCAGAAATGTGTTTTGTTTGTTTTTTTTCATTTGCAGCAAGGCGCGTAGCTCCATCGTTCTAAGGAGAACCAACCACGTTTTGCCTCTCGCAGCCTGTCCACTTTGCATCTTTTTTTTCTTTTTTTAAGGCCGACCTTGTGGGTGCTGGGCGGTGTTCCCGTGATTATTGGATGTCGATACAGGTGCAGCAATGCCTGCCGGGGTTCACTGATGTTGGCACATGCTACCCACGGGGGTAAGGCACAGACAAAATGCCGTGGGGCTATTTGCGGACTTAGTCCCCTGTGAAATGCATACACGGACACACAACATCAGTCATGAGGCAAGTCTAAGCCTTGTTTAAAAAGTTATAACCTTCCTCTCTGGCTGGCAATTTCAACAAGGCCAGCCCAGCAGTCAAAATAAATCAAGTGACTGTTCTTCAACAGTTGAGTACTCCCAGCCTTCATAAAGTAGGATTGACTGGCTGTGATTGTTATGATACCTGATATATACCGGTATGGTAGCTATATGTACATGTATGAGGTACATACAAATGTATGTATGTTGACTGTAGGAGATTGATTTATAAGCCAGTTACTACCTAAAAGTTCCTTGCTTTTGTCTGTTGATGGAATTTGACTGTCACAGTGCCTAAATATAATCCGACTGCTGGTGACTAGCCAGTGTAAAAAACATGGCAGGGGAACAGGATTGAATTTTTAACTGTCTGTGACTGATCAAACACAAGGAGGGTTTAAATGTACATTTGTAAAGCCGGCGCCACAAATAGTCGACTAGAGTACATGTACATGTATTGTAGTCCAACCATATCCTTAGTTCAAACGAAGTTAGCTGAATTATTAAGGTTAACAATAGTTCACGCCCAAACTGGCTCTTAAATTTCTTTTTATTTTCTTAGTGGAGTCTGGGGTGGGGTGTGGGGGGGGGGGGGGGGGGGGGTTGTTTCAGGGGCCCCCAAGCTCCTCTTAGCCCTTTACACCTTGGCGGACCCATTGTGCCCCAGGTTGAGTTTTTGATTTCTCAACCCCGCGTTCAACCCGCATCGTTTCACACTTGTTTCATGCAAAGCAAGCTTATTTCGCTCGTTTACTACTGTTTTGAACCCTGGTGAGAGTTTCAACCTGGTTTAAGAAATCTCAGCCTTGGTCTTGACCTGGGTTGACTTCAACCCGGGTTGAAATCAATCTCGGCATTGATGCAGGGTTGAAAATATGAAAGCGTGAAACGCCCATGTTTTCAACCCTGTGTCAACCCTACATTGTAGTGCCAGCCCCGAGATTTGTCTAGTGTGAAAAGCCTCTTGAGTGTGTAAGTGCTTTGCCAAGGACTCGATGCTTCCACATGGGTGAGGGATGGATGAGCCAACTAACAGGGGAAATTAAATTATAAAATGGACCTTGCTTGTCAGATTTTCCATAGTGACGTTGTCCAGAAAGCGTGGGTACCATACATGTACATCTGGCCCCATCATTGTGTTTCAAATAAATGGACTTCCTACATGTACACATGTATGTAAAGCGTGCAAGTCTCGCCAGTCTATGTCCACTTTTTCCGTGAACGTCATACAATTTCTTTATTCCGCCTCATAGGTAAGACGCCTCATAAGTCCGACGCCTAAGTCCGACGTCGGAAAAATGAGGCGTTAATAATTTGTCGGACCTACGAGGCGTCGGATCTATGAGGCGTCGGACTTACATGTATGGGCCTTTATTTAGTTAGGGGATGCGATTTTGTCGGACTTATTAGGCGTCGGACCTACATGTATGAGGCGTCGGACTTATGAGCGGACCCCAGTGAGACCATGGAGAAAGGAAACTTTTTTTTTATATTTGTGGATAATTACAACAGGGCCCTACTGCACACTACACTACATGTATCACCAAAAATAGGACGTTACACACGTTGTATAAATCCTAATCCTATACACTTATAGTACGGTATGTGGTTAAATACAAAATACATGATGCCCGGATGTGCTGTATTCTCGTAAAATCTCGCAGGGTTTTGCAGCTCTATTATAGAACTATGATTCATAATGTAATCTTATTGATGACAACAGCGACAGTCCAGACTCTCTGGCACGCTCTACCCCTCCCAATGGCTCACGTCAACTGCTCGGCTGACTGTGAGGCATCCTGGCCTAGCAACACACCCCCAGAGGTGCTGCTCGCCTTGATCAACCTACACGCCCGCACCGCCCACCCAACCGTTCCTGCCAGCTACAGTTTACTTCCTATAAGGCCAAAAAAAAAAAATATTCGGTCTCTGGTCAGACCAAAGTTCCGGAATTGACACGGCCACGCGGCTTTTTTTTTTTCTTTTTGCTTTTTTTTTTTTCTTCAAGCTTGGATTGTACAGACAAGGTGGGGTACTATTTTGCTTTTTTGGTGTCCTCATGTACATTGGTGTCCTCCATAATTTGTCTTGGTGCTTTCAATCATTTGCCTTGGTGCAATTTCCCATTCCTTGGTGCTATTTGGTAAAAAAAATTGAGGAGGTGCGGAAATAGAGGGCGCTGTTGGAGCTACCGCGGAACATTTTTGAAAAAAAAAGATCGACACGCATGGTTTAAATCGACGCGCGCGCTGATCAGAGACCGACATATTTTTTTTTTTGGCCTAACCTATGCTTATTCTTGTTTCGATCTTTGCTTATTGTTCATGTTCACGCCTTTGCAATCTGTGCATTTCTTTAGGTTACTTAGTTTTATGTCTGTTACATTTGGAATCTTTTCTTCCTAGAATTGTTAGCCTTTGTTATTCCCAAAGACTTGGGGGGCATATAGAACTATGATTCATAATGTAATCTTTTCCTTTACTTTGCAGCCGCTGTTGTCATTGGTTGATGACTAATAAACACTACACGAACTATCAACTAAAGAGTTATACTTATTGATCTGTGACTGTATGAACCACACATGTAGACACAGACAGTTGTGAACCACACACAATGCCAATGCAATGGCCAACGCTAACTTTCCTGAAACTGAGAAGATGGACGAGGACTTTAGTAGTAGGAGGAGTACCGGTCCCTGAATTTTCTTAACTTATTTATCGTCTCCTTCACTGTTTATATATCGTCTAGAATTCCAATTCAGAGAACACAACCTTCTACTTTAGGATGGCCAGGAGAGTGACAAAACAGCCATGACACTAAATCGACAGCTACATGTAGCTGTGACCACCACCTGCCTGCTTTGTCTGTGGAACCAGTTTGACTAGACAAAGTCTTACTTGCAGATCTGACTGCTGCTGACCTAGCCCCATAAATGTGGCCTATTTACTGGACTGCCTCCGTAAACATAGGCCACACATCCACATGTACAAAAATCGTGTCGACTTTGCCAAATTTTGATTTTCACATTTAGGCTTAGTTTGTAGGATTTTTTTGCTTTAGAAGCATACTCACCCTCTTTATAGGCTAGTCAGAAAGTGCTGCCTTTTTCAGATGTCTAATTTTTGTGAAATTTCATGTTGAAATTTTGATACGCAAACGTGTAAAAATGAATCTGGAAATTTCACGAAAAATATACATCTGAAAAAGGCAGCACTTTCTGATTAGCCTATAAAGAGGGTGAGTATGCTTCTAAAGCAAAAAATCCCTACAAACTAAGCCTAAATGTGAAAATCAAAATTTGGCAAAGTCGACACGATTTTTGTACATGTGGATGTGTGGCCTATGTTTACGGAGGCAGTCCAGTAAATAGGCCACATTTATGGGGCTACATGTAGCTGTGACCACCACCTGCCTGCTTTGTCTGTGGAACCAGTTTGACTAGACAAAGTCAAAGTACTTGCAGATCTGACTGCTGCTGACCAGCAAATGACCAGCCTGGAAAGAATGTAGTATTAATTAAATATTCAGACACCACTTCTTTGGTTGTTTAAGTCTATGGAGCCGGAGACGAGTGTGTATTTTCAAAGTTTTTTGTTTTTTTAATTGGAAATGTTTCTCTCTCAGTCTCAGTCCCAGATTCATGTCTTTTCACTAGCATGACTAGGGGGCCTATTTGGAGAAAGATTCCCATATATGGCTAACAGTAATTTTTCCCTGAAATGACCTATCACTATCAGAAAGTGATATTATGTCCTAAAAAGTCAAAAATAGCAGGGACAAATTTTGAATTTTAACTGAAAAAAACACAAATTTTCAGACCAGTCCCATAGGTTTGTGCACTGACAGGGTGACAAGCAAGTGATGGCCAGATATGGGATTCTTTCCCACTATTTTTGCAATGAGATGATTATTAATTACGAAGTGGCTATCGTTACGGCACTCGTTGTTTAGCGCCCTCTACGATATTTTTTTGATACGCACGCGGGTATATAATTATTTGTTTCTCCACGTTTTATCGAGCAGTGCGCCAGCTCAGCCGATAGAGGGTAGGATTTTGCACCGCGAGGTTGCAGGTTCGATTCTCAGTTTTGCACTCGAATTTTTTTCCTTTTCTAACCTGAGGCTTTGGAGGATTTTTTTTAAAAGGGAAATAAAGTCCGAATTTCATAAAGTTCAAATTCACTTTTTTCCTTCTAATTTTATATTTTCTTGTCATGTTTTTTTATAAAAGTTGCCAGGTTGCAGTCTACCGTAACGATAGAAAATGGGAAATGCGTTACGGCTGCCGTAACAATAGCCACTGCGTATTAATTATTATGAAAAAGCAACGTCAGGATGCAACATTCTTTCCACCAGCCTTTGTAGCAGGGGAAGCGGAAATGAATTTTGATCGCCATCATGACTGCTTACAAAAGCAGGAGGGTAATTAACAGCGCCAGACGAGCGTACATGTACATGTACACTCCCACCAACCAACAATTTCGTCATGCCTGCTCATTAATTTGTTTAGTCCGTTATTTCACTCACCGTAAATCGCGAATTTGAAAGTCGTCGTACTTGATTCTCCTCCACGTTCCTCCCAAGTAGTCCCTGCACCAGTTGTATGCTTTCACCCGAGTTTCCTCAGGCACTGTGGCCATACTTTTGCACCAAAAAATAGATCGAGAATCCTGGCTTCTTTCGTTATATTTGCTCAATCGACTGCGTGCGCGCAGCATGCAGCATCCACGAAATCACGAGATGTTTCACAAATGACAAAGTACATGTAGCCTACACGCACATGTGATAACTGCATGCATGATCGACCGTTCGTGACCACCAATATGTGTACGTGTACATGTAGCTTCTGGCGCAGGCTTCAAAAATGCCCAATTGAGAACTGAAAGATATTCGCGAACGGGTTAAGCTACCCCGTCCTTTCTGCCAGTGAGCCGAAGAGTACTCTTGCTGCAGACCAGTAAATAAACTTCCATAGACCCTAATGGTAAATGCTCCCACTTCAGAAATTCGGGAAAAATACTTACAACTCTCCAAGGTGTTCGAGACACTCATCAAATTAAAGCTTATTTCATCATCTTTCATTTTCTTTGCATTTTTTGGGGGGTTAACTGGTGACTTTTAGGACAAATTTCCATCTGAGGATGATCACCCCTGAAAATAGTCATGAAGCCCATCGCCATGTTGAAAAACGATGCCTACACTCCATTGCAAAATAGAGCGCTTTAAGGCCCCGAAATTCATCCAAATTGAACGGAACTACAAGCTCACAGTCGAGTCCTGAGCACGGCTTCCACCCATATTTTTTTACAAACCCTCAAGTACATGGCCCACGTACAGCATGCTCAAATACATTTTCACGCAGCAACTTGGAGGATGATTCCATCGACTGGGCATGTAAAACCAGGCAGCTATATAAGTGTCAACACTCTGTCACGTTTTTGTTTGATGTTCAGTTTTCTTATAAACTTGGATTCAAAAGATTTAACCCCGTGGCAACAAATAATTAAGGAAGGACATTTTTGTTAGTTAAACGATTTTTTTGCCGATTCATGATCGCACTGCAAGTAGATAGCTGGACGTGTTGGCTTTGTAGCTGGGTGGCAAACCAGTAGAGCCTAGTTGGTATTTACTGTGGTTTATGTATGGTGGGCGTGGCATTTTTTTTTTTTTAACTGACATTGATGTCCATATCCCATGCTTTACTTTATGAAATTTAATTTTCCCATACTCGCTTTTTTCATGGGTTATTTAAAAGGATCCTGTTCACAACTTTTACAGAAAAATAGGCATGCAAATCGTGATTTTTGGCTCCCGTTGGCAATTTCGGGCCTATTAATGGGCCTGGTTGGCAAACTGCATTTTTGCCAACCACGGGTTACAAAACTATGGAAGGTCCAACACTGCAAAAATGAATAAGAGTTATTACAGACAATCAAATCTTATTGTTGGAAATGCAACATTGTCAACAGAGCTAAAACATAATTCCTAAACATGCCTTTTTACTTTGTATTGAGTGCGTAACGGGGCTTTTTTTTTGGGGGGGGGGGGGGAAACATGTTGCCAACCCCGGCTTCTATATACACACTCGCGGCAGCCCATATAAAATTGCGCCAATGTTTGCAAACAAAAGAAAGGTCTACATGTATACCGGCCGTATGCATGGTGTTTTCGAAACCTTGGTTCCATCTCCGAAAGCGTCGTCGGGAAAATGTAGGTCCTTAAACGTTGGGAAAATGCTAGGCTGACTTTATGCATCCTCGAGCTCGCTCTGTTTATGTGAAATTAAATGCCATGAAATATAAAACACCACGCAAACCAGTGTATTCCTTTTAATTTATGTTTCTAGGCCTTTTTTTAAAGTGACGCCCAACATCGACGGAAACCATTGCTGGAACGAAGTCGAAGTTTTGAAAACACTATGTAAACAAGTGCAGCTGTTATCTTCTCACCTGCCAATCAAAACGTTTACTGCTCCACTTTCGACCAATAGGAATCACTCTCGACGCTGAGTGCGTGACTAACCCAACACAAACTCGTTTCCATGATCTTTGGTCTTGTTCCCTGACCGGACAATTCCCCGAAGCCCTATTGCTCACAAATTGTCAGAATGTTTTGATCTGGGAACCAGACTACATGATGTCGGGCAGTACGCTCCCACCACTACCGCTACTACCTGAAACAGGGATGAACATTAAGCAAACCCTAGGGACGAAGTTGAACACAACCGGCTTTATTGTGATATCTCTCCTCGTTTAAAAATATAGTTCGGACTGTTTTTTTCAAAATACGATGATTTTCCTTGGTAAAAATTACAAATTGTCTTACTTTTTGCGAACGCAGCATGCTAGGTTTACGACGAGTTGAAACTGTGTCGAAACTAGTTAGTTTTGTTTGATTTGGTAGAAAAGTCCAGACGCGTATGAACATATCTGTAAAGCTCATTATTTTTGTGTATGATAGCCTTATCACTCATTTTATCGGTTGCCTTCTGCAATTGGCGCGAGCAAGTTTGCTGTGTCGTGCCTAAAGTTCGGACTGCACTCTTTTTTTGTCCACCCAAAAAAAGATTTTTTTTCAGTGAATTTCTCGAATGTACCAAAAATTTGTCTCACTACTCGAAGGCAACAATGTGAGGAAGACTTCTGAGTGGTGTCGTGGATTTTCGTGGAGTATTTCGTTGGGAAATCAGGCGGACTTCAACGGCGAGCCTACGGCTGGGATTTTGTCGGCTCACGGTGCGGACGACTCATCTCACCGTGGATCCAGCGGCGGTTGGATTTCCAAGCTACCGCGTCCCTTGCTCTCATGGAATTTTCTCCACCAATGGTCTGCAGTCTGCACTCACTTCTCGGACTTCTCACCTTGCATGTGTCGTGAGTTTAACCTTATATGGAACAGAAACTTTAGCTGAACTTCCAGTGAATTTTTGAGGAAAATGAACCTCGGCTGTTGTCTGGACGGCTCACGAAGGATCAAGTGGCAGTCGGATTTCCAAGCTACCGTTGCCCGTTGCTCTTTTGGAATTTTCTCCACCCAGAGTCTGCAGTCTCCACTCACTTCTCGGACTTCTTACCTTGCATATGTCGTGAGTAAAACTTTATTTGGAACAGAAACTTTAACTGAACTTCAAGTGAATTTTTGGACCACGGCCGTGGTTCCCACCCTGTCGCTGCTTGGCTCTCTTGAAATTCGTAGCCCTCCACATTCTACAACTGGGTTCTCGTACTTCTGTCCATGGAATTGTTGTGAATGAAACACTGAGTGGACTAAAACTTTAACCTATGTTTCCAGGACTTTGAGGAAAGTTACCTAAACTGTCATAAACTTCAAGATCTTAAGCAAGAATCTGAGATGAATTCATGAGTTGAATTATGAACTAAAAAACACTGAGAAACATCTAAAACGCTGGACAGTGTCTTCGAAATCTTGTGTGTGGATTTTTTTTCTGTGGAATGAATCGTGTGGACAAGTTGAGAATTTGGTAAGTCAGAAACAATTTCTGAGGTAAGTGAAAACATTTTAGAAACTATTTTGAAATTATTGTAGGCCTTTTCCAAATTCCTCTTTTATATAAAAAAAAGAGACCTTGTGAGCAGATATCGAGTGTCTAGCTTTACTTGTACCCTTTGCAAATTCCCCCCCCCCCAAAAAAAATAAATAAATTTAAAAAAACGGGTAAAGGCCCGGCCCCCTCTTTAAAAAATATACTCTGAGTCTGCCCCCCCCCCCTAAATTGCACATTGCGGGAAAAGGTTGTGTATTCTTTTCATACATGGTTCTCTATTTATAAAAAAGAAACAAATTAATCTCCCCGTTTTTGTGATTCAGTGTCAATTTTTCGAGTGTCTCCCTTGAAATTTTTGCAAATTCCAAAAATAACTGGTATAGTTGAAAAAAATTTCCTCTGAGTATATCCCCTTTCTATAATAATTTGCTGGAATAGTTGTGTATCCTTATATAAAATGAAAACGATCCTCATTTATGAGATTTTGTGTCCAAATGTGAGTGTCTGCCTTCATATTTTGTGAATTGCCCAACAAATCTGGTACTTTTTGGAAAGTGTCTCCGAGTCTGCCCCCTTTTGAAAGATGGGTCTAGGCTAATAAGTAATATGTTCTGTGACCACTTGTAGGCCAATGATCCTGTTGATGGGGATTTTTATTTTTCTTTCATACTTTCTCCTTGTAAAATTGTCAGCTATATTTGATTTTTTGTCCATATTTCCAGTTTGTCCATGTACTTTTTACCTCAAAAATATCAACGTGATTGTACATTATGCAAGTTGAAATTATCAGGTTCAAATATTTAAAAACCTAGTTCTGTGGTTATTTCCAAGTCGAAATGACTCAAGGTATTACTAGAGTTTGCCCCTAATCTCCATTCCAAAATTAGTTGCCTCCGAGTTTAAAAAAAAAGGCGTTTGCAGGGTAGATTTTATTTGCTCTGGGCTTCAAATAAATATAAATTATATTTGCTCTGGGCTTCAGACAAATAAACTATTTTTTTTTGGTCTCAGTCTGTAGCCAAATGATTGAAATATGCAATCAAAGTTGCCCCTCTTTTACATTCTAAAATTAGTTGCCCCCGAGCTTTGCAAAAAAAAAAGTTTGCAGGGTAGATTAAGTTTGTACGCTCTGAGCTTCAAATAGATATAAATTATTTTTTGTCTCAGTCTGTAGCCATATGATTAAAATATGCAATCAAAGTTGCCCCTCTATTACATTCCAAAATTAGTTGCCCCCGAGAGTTGTAGGGTAGATTTAGTTTGCAGGGTCTGAGCTTCAAATAAATATAAATCATTTGTTTTGTCTCAGCCAATGATTAAAATATGCAATCCAAGTTGCCCGTCTTTTACATTCCAAAATTAATTGGCCCCCACTTCAGGAACTTTTTTCTGTAGCCGAGTCAAAATGTTTTTGTCTACATGACACGAGGTATTGATTTTCCTCCGCGCGGTATTGTCTGAGAAACGGGAGGGTCTATTTGGATATAAAAGAGATTCACACCTGTGAATTCCTTATAAGGAGTGTCTGGCCCCTGGGCCATGTATAAAGTTGTATGACCTTTGAACCCCATGTCGGCACGTGCCGTGGACGCGCGTTCAGTCCTATTGTTCTCTTGGGCGAAGTTATGTGGCAGCTGGCACGCGCCTTTTATCTCTGGAATAATTTGTCTGGGTCGCACTCTCGGTGATTGACAGATTCTCCACGAGCGTATCACTGTCAAAGTTGAGACGACGTCTTTGG